ACGCAGCGACATCAACATGATAGCGGCCGGTCCCCCTTTCCGCCCATATGATCAGGCCTTGGCCTCACAGCCCAAGTTAGCGCGGGCTTTTCAAACGTAAAAACTGATTTTTGCTACGGGTTGGTTCAGTTCGCCTTCTAACAACAGGAAGGCCGCCGTCGACGTCGAAGGTGAAGGAGCACCTCGACTCCCAGGTGCACGCCGCGCCACCCGCGCCCCGCCGCGAGAGACGGGACGGGAGGCAGACGCAGGATCACATTTCTCGCTGTTCTTGGAGCGCGCCGGGACCGTTAGGCGAAGGAGCATCGTACGTCAAACCAGGCGGAGCGAACGCGGGGGCTGTGGAGGCGAATAAGCGAGGGGGGGGGGGGGGGGCAACTGTCGTCGCCACCGCTCTCCGGGCCGAGCTGAGCGGTTACCGAAGTGGAGAAGCCACCCTAATGTTTAGAATCGTGGATCATTGAGGAAGAGCATGGTCGAATATAAAACTGTAGCGCAGGAGAGAGGAGGAGAGAGAGAACGGGGGTGGGGGTAGAGGGGCTAGGGGCAGCTGCTGCGTAAAATAGTCCTGGGGTTAGATTAGAAGTGCCCTTACCTTGCTCTCCTTGACAGTATGGACCCTATCAATGGCACTCGCGACAATACATTCTGAAAATTCACAAACCTGTTACTTTAACACTTCAATACAAAATGGCTGACAGTCATTTGCTTATAAGACGTTTGAGTTACTTACCTGTTTACGCTCAGCAAAGTTTTGTTCATCATCTAGAGGGACTTTGCGGGGAATATATCTCGACCCCTCCCCAAACTCTTTCTTGCGTATTTCTCTCCTGCGCACTTCAGCCTCCTTTACCATTTGTTCATACAACCTTTCAAGTGCTGCCTGATTTTCTACTGAAACGCAGTTAGTGATCATATGTTGGGCGTAATCGTAAGTGTTGTCGATTTCGTGAAAATCGAGCACCTCCGCCCCCTCTTCGTCCACCTCCTCCTCCTCCTCTTCCTTCTTCTCTATCACCGTCTCCACACCCTCCTCTTCCCCCTCCTCCGTTCCCTCTTCTTCCTTCTTCGCCCTCGCCTCCTCCTCCTCAACCCTTCTCATGTCCTGCTCGGGCTCGAACTGCGGAGACACTGGAAGTGGAAGAAGACGGGGCAAGTCTCACTAAATGTACCCAGGTGGCTCTTTGCATGGCTTTGCCTACCCGCAAGGACCCAACATCGGCGCCGGCGCGTGCCAAGACACACCTGGCACCGCGCCTGGCACACAGTACCAGGTGGCTGACAGCCGCGCACCTTCGTAGTTACTGTCCCGCATGCACGCGTGCGGATGGGTTTTCTACCCGTTCGGGGCCACAAGGAGCCGTTGGCCTCCGACTATAGGCAACCCGCCCGCACGCGTGCGTACGGGACAGTGTAACTACGAAAGTGCGTGGCGTAAGTCAACCACCTGGTACACAAAGATCCAAAGATGAGGGACAACTTTAAAATATATCGTGTTGACAGTGACCCCGCACAGGTGCAAGCAAACAAGCCAGCGTGTAAATCGGTTCAGTCACTTACCTTTCGAAATCTCATGTTGTTCTCCGCTGCCCGGTTCCCGCTCTGTCCTTTCCAAGACATGACTTCCCATCCCTCCGAACATTCCTTCCATTCGATCGGCACCTTGAACATAGAACAGGCCGTTAACATACCTCATAGGTGGCTGACCCACGCCGCGCACGCATTCGAGCATGTGGGTCGCCTACTCGCACGGGGCCGCGAGGATAGGCACACCCGCCCGCACCTATACCTACGGAGGAGCGCGGTGTGAGTCACAGGGTGGGTCATGATTTGATTTGCGCACTTTCATTTTGTTGTGTGTGTAAAGGGGGGGGGGGGCAAGCCAGGGTTTGCCAGGTTTGCAATCCGACGGCTCTGCCCTTACTCTGCCCGAGCCCAACTTAGGTGGCGATTACCATGCGTGCGAGAGAGGCAGCTAGTGCGCCGGGGTCTCCCCGACCGCGATTGTAAAACTCTAATCAAATCCATACTTCGGGATGACTCACGCCTTGCGCCTTTCTGCACGCTGCATGACACATTTGTCATTTCTTATTAGTTTCAGTAGGGTAAAATGTTCCAAATGTATCATCCGCTAAAAAGTAGACGAACCCTTTGCCAAACCCTTTGCCATTATGTTTTGTATCGGAGCTGACTTTTTGATTGGCGATTCGAGTACCACTTCATCGCCCCCACGAAAACTGATGATACGTCTAATTTTCCTCGCGCCCGCGTCGCTGAGCCGCTGCGCATAACGCCAAACCAGTATTTCCCAACAATAGGTGTTGGGCGCGGCCTACTGGGCCTACCTGGGGCCTACTGTCAGTTGTTGGGCAGTGCAAAAGATGCGGACGATCGCCAAACAACTAAGGAAAAGGGTTGCAAGCGTTCGCGGGGATCACGGGTGTTTTTCTCACCACTGTCATTATCGGCGACATCAGCACCCGCGCGTCGCTCGAACAGCCCAGAGCAGCATCGCGCACTTGGTCATTCCCTCTTGCCTCGAACAACAACGCCCGCTTGGTCATTCCCTCCCCCCTTCCTGGAACTCGACCATCACCGCGCCGCGCGGCCGCTTGGTCATTCCCTCCCGTACTGCTCACACTACATCAACAAAAGTCAACTAATAGCCAACGACAAATCGACGCCCCCACTACTGTGCCGCGTGCATGACCGTGGTCGCCTTCGCCTATTCGCTCCGTGTCATATGATCAGAGACGATCGGCCCGATAGGCAAACAACAAAAGTGTCCCATAACCCCAAATTCAGAAACTAATCTCCAATTGCGTAACACCCATAGAAAAACATGTTCTTGACCCCTGATTTCTCTAAAACATTTGCATCAGGGTAATGCAATTTTCATTTGCACCGATGCAATTTGCATTGGGACAGGACAATGTTCTCGGTTCAGCCGAGCACATTTACTTCACTCAATAAGAACTCGCTTTTTTTAGGTGAACGACATACATAGCAAAGAAGCACTCACCCTTGCACAACACATTATGAATCCCGTCAGGCAATAGCTGCTCTTCGTCAACTTCAATAAGGGCTCCCCCCGACTGCTCGTCACCCGGACTTGTCATCCTGACCTTGGCCTCCACACTCACCAGCTACCCTTCCGCGACTGAACCGACACACTGCCGCCTGCCGAGCTGCCGGCCGGCGCCGCGCCGCCGCGCTGCTTGGTGGCGGCGGTGGTAGGGAAAGGGGGGGGGGAGGCATTCCTTAAGTTTCATTCAAGCTCAACGCAGCGACATCAACATGATAGCGGCCGGTCCCCCTTTCCGCCCATATGATCAGGCCTTGGCCTCACAGCCCAAGTTAGCGCGGGCTTTTCAAACGTAAAAACTGATTTTTGCTACGGGTTGGTTCAGTTCGCCTTCTAACAACAGGAAGGCCGCCGTCGACGTCGAAGGTGAAGGAGCACCTCGACTCCCAGGTGCACGCCGCGCCACCCGCGCCCCGCCGCGAGAGACGGGACGGGAGGCAGACGCAGGATCACATTTCTCGCTGTTCTTGGAGCGCGCCGGGACCGTTAGGCGAAGGAGCATCGTACGTCAAACCAGGCGGAGCGAACGCGGGGGCTGTGGAGGCGAAGCGAGGGGTGGGGGACTCATTGGCTTCATCGCCGTCATTGTTTCATCCACGCTGCAGCGCTGGGGGCGCAGCGGAGGGCATGTGGTTCGGTTTGGGGGAGCCTTTGGCAAAAGCGCGCCCATCCGGCATGGTGACAATTCTTCAGTTATGCCGCGCAATCACATAGACGGTGGTGTCCGGCTCCGGCCGCGCGCCGTGCTTTTAAACTTTTTAAACCATCTCTTCAGTAGGACAATGCTAACGCGGAGCACAGGAGAGCGAGCAGGGCGGACGAGCACGGCGTGGGAGGCTGGGCTGGGCAGGCTGGGCGATCCGCGACCACCAAGCTGGGGAAAGTATCATAGCCATCCATGACTCATGGCCCGGGCTCTGGCCGGCTCGGAGGATCAGTCCAGGAGCGAGGTCGTTTGGTGGGGACCTTGGCCACCCTCGGCACCGGGTCAGCCGGGAGGGACCGGGAGCACGGGAGCGGCCCGGTCCGCGGGAGAGAACTCACAGCGCGTCAGCTGTGGCGTTAGGGATCACCCAGAAAGCACGTCCGTCATTCGCCGTTACTAAAACTGACAAGTTCAGCCATTGGAAACTGTCTTAGCGCCTGGTGGGTAGGCAACATCGTGCCCACTGTGCATGCGTGCACTGTAGAGTGGCCTATCCTTGGCCTCGCAGGCGTCAAGCTACCGTAATTTACGGAATGAATCTGAGAAAAATGGACGTACTTTCTGGACGATCCCTTAGCACTAACCGAGGGCGACCCGTGCACACCTACGCCCCCACGCCCCGCCAGGAGGCGAGTCGGAATAGGGAAGCTCCCTGATTTTTCACTAGTCGCTCTGGGACGCATTTGGACATCTGATGCCCGTCCGCTGCAGGGCAGGGCCCTGATAGTGCCTGCCCCCTCCCACACTCCCTGGCGCCGCCCCTTACCTCTCCCCTCGCCAGCCAGCATGACTCGGCGTTAGGGCCACGCCAACGTAAACTGCGACGAGATTCTCCTAGGGAAAAAAGTGAAACTCGTTTGACAAAAATCCTCGCCGGCTCCCCCATGCAGTAAAGGCATAGCAAAGCGTGACCGGACACAACGCGTGGGCTGGGCGTGCGGCGGGGCGGGTCGGGGCG